AGGAGGTTGAGGCAGGAGAATCACTGAAACCTGGGAGGCAGAGGTTGCAGTGAGCTGAGATTGCCCCACTGCACTCCAGCCTGGGCAACAGAGTGAGACTCCACCTTAAAAAAAAATAAAGTACAGGCAGGACTGTAGAGGAAATGGTTGAAAGCTATCATAAATGGCAAGGTGTGGTCCTTGCAGTCATCCCCAATATATGGTTTAGTACAGTTCCCTGTCAGTCTGATACAAATATTCAGTCTGCTCAGTGAGTACCTTCCAGATGTGGACATGGGTACAACGGAGCCTAATGAATTAAATATTTGCTCTGATTGTATACTCACCAAGTCTATTTTGAGTAACTCAGAGAGTCCTATGTCACTTGCATTTTTGGAGAGAATACACTAGCCAGGTTGACATGAATATGCAGACTACACACTTATATATCTCACTGTAAATGAACAAACTGCTATTTGCAACATTAAGATCTTATGAGCTTATTATTTTGGGTTGATGTCACCCAATTGGATTAACTCTGGGATGCTGATAGAACTGGGATTCTCAGGCTGGAAGGCCAAGGCCCGGCTTTTGCCTTATAGTGAATTCCCATGGGAAATGCCATCTCTACTATCTCTTGGAAGACGGCGGTTAGCATGCCAACCACAACACTGGCCTTTCTTTGGAAACTTCCACACTCCCTGAAGACATGTTTTGTAAACACGAGATTCTGCAAACATAAATTGAAACCACATACAAATAATTTCTACCAAGTCAAAGGGAAGGGTGCCTTCTCAAGATTCAGAAAAAGCAAACTAGATTTTTAAAACCTTTCTACTGGAAAATACAGCGCACAAGTGAACATACAATATCAATGCTCAAAATATGGATAATCACAAAATGCACACTAGTGTAACAACCAAACACCACCATTCAGAAATGACCAGCACTCACAAATACTTCTGCATGTCTCTTTCAGACACATCTTCCTCCCCTCCACCCTAGAGGGAATCGCTATTCTAATTTTTATGGTAACTGTTTCCTTGCTTTTCCTTAAACTTTTGTCACCTATGCTGGACCCTTTAAAAATATAGCTTCTTTTTTTTTTCTTTTCTGGAGACAGGGTCTCCCTCTGTCACCCAGGCTGGAGTGCAATGATGCAATCTGGACTTACTGCGGTCTCAACCTCCCGGGTTCAAGTGATCCTCCTGTCTCAGCCTCCGCAGTAGCTACAGGCATACACCACCATGCCTGGCTAATTTTTTTTTCTTTTGTAACAGTCTCACTCTGTTGCCCAGGCTAAAGTGCAGTGGCACAAGCTTGTCTCACTGTAACCTCCGCCTCCAGGGTTCAAGTGATTCTCCCCGCTTGGCCTCCCGAATAGCTGGGACTACAGGCACCCACCATTATGCCTGGCTAATTTTTGTACTTTTTGGTAGTGATGGGGCTTCCCCATGTTGGCTAAGCTGGTCTTGAACTCTTGACCTCAAGTGATCCTCCCACCTCAGTCTCCCAAAGTGCTGGGATTACAGGTGTAAGCCACCACACCTGGCCCAGACTTTCCTTCTTTTTGATGATCTTTGAGGAGCAGTGGTCAGATATTTTGTAGAATGGCCTTCTACTGGCATTTGTCTGATGTTTTTCTCATTATTAGACTGGGGTTATGGGTTTGCGGGAGGAAGATCATAGAGGTGAAGTGCCTGTCATTATCATTGTATCACATCAAGGGCACACACTGTCAACGTGACCGATCACTGTTGGTGTTGACCTTGGTGACTTAGCCTAGGTAGTATTTGTTGGGTTTCCAAACTGTAAAGCTGCTCTTCTCTCCCCCACGCCTTTCTATACTGTATAGAGTACCTTTTGAAGAACAGAAATTCTTAATTTTTACTGAGTGGAGGCTGCATGGTCTGGGAGAGGGGCACGATCTTCGCCTCCACAGGGATCCCAGATAGGATGTCTGGTTTGCAGAGATCAACTCATGTCACCGAGCTCACTCTGGGATCACTCAGAACTCACAGCTGGACTTAATTGGGGGCGGGACTTAGGGAAGCAACTGGAATTATATATTCTTTCAAATTATGCATCTGGACCTTTAGCTCTGAAACCCAAGAGACAAGAATTTTACATTTATTTTCTGGTTCTCCTGAGAGTCTTCCCCTCAGGGCAACGGATGGCTAGAGTCCTGCCTATTTGACCTGGGGGGAGGGGGGAGAAAGGCTTGTTTTAGGCTAACAAATGGGGTCATAACTTCAAATATTGTATTACCCTGCCACACACATATCCATCTCTAAATGCTTCAGTGGAAAAGTTAACCGCACATCACCAGTTGTTTACTGAGCACTGAAGATTGAATCAGCAAAGCTGCATTCACGAAGCAGAACTGCTGACGATTCAGAATGTGACCTTGAGTACACATGCCCTTTCCTAGGCTTCAATCTCTCAATCTATGAAACAAGGAGAGGGCTTCTGACAATGTTTATCTTGCTAAATTCCAAGGCTGTAAGGAACAGCAATGCCCCTTTACGACCTCAGGTGAAAAGGGTCCTTAGATGTAAATAATAAGCTATTCGCTGGTAGCTCAAAAAGGAATGTTATTTCTCAAGACATAAATGAAGTGGGAAAGATTGTGAGGTTTTCTGGGGGAATGGGGGGGTGGGGATTAATCGTATATTCAAATCTATTTACAAAATGTTTGGTCTTCCTCAAATTCAAAGAAATAAGAATGTACTAGAACTATTTTAAGAACAGAAACATTCATTCCTTTCCTTGTTTCTTTAGGCTAGATGAAACGGCAGGCAGTCTGCTCCACTTTAGCTGATTATGTCCCTAAATAAGGTTTAGATAAGCTCTTGCAGGGCCTGTGATTCAAAACCTGTTCTAAGACACGCAGGAAGATGGACAAAGAATGAAATCTTAGTTGGTGTGAAGAGATTGTAAATTTATCATGCTTAAAAATGAATATTTAAAACTGATTAATTTTTTTTCGGTTGGGTGCGGTGGCTCCCGCCTGTAATCCCAGCACTTCGGTAGGCTAAGGTGGGTGGATCGCCTGAGGCCAGGAGTTCGAGACCAGCCTGGCCAACAATATGAAACCCCCATCTCTATTAAAAATACAAAAATTAGCTGGGCATGGTGCCGCGCGCCTGTAATCCCAGCTACTTGGGAAACTGAGGCAGGAGAATAGCTTGAACCCAGGAGTTGGAGGTTGCAATGAGCCGAGATCATACCACTGCACTCCAGCCTGGGCAACAAGAGGGAAACTCGATGTCAACAACCACAAAAAGTGATTAATTTTTTTCAAGTCAGTCACATTAGAGTAGATGTTTTGGAAATTAGGTGCTTTAGACATTTTGGTTCTAATAATTTCACATGCCTAATGGAAAAATATCTTTTTTACCTTTCAGAGTTCTCTAAAGTCCCATTTGTACAAATTCTCCTCTAGAGGAAAAGCAAGTCTGAGAGTTTCCTGTTTCTTGACGTTGGGTGAGGATATCGACTCTATTCCCTAAACTGAGAGTGGCTTTGGCAAGCATAATGTGTTCTAGAAAGTTCAGACTATTTAGAGAGTGTTTTTCTTTTTTTGCTTGCTTTCTTTTTTAATCAAGAGACAGGGCCTCGCTATGTTATCCAGGCTGGTTTTCAACTCCTGATGTCAAAGGATCTTCCCTCCTTGGCCTCTCAAAGTGCTGGGATTACAGGCGTGAGCCACCACACCTGGCCTCGAGAGTGTTTTTCTGATTCAGTTTTCAGTTGGGCAAGGTTTTCCTAGAGTGGGTCTGCTATCTGGGGAACTCTTGGGGTCACTGCTTTTAACTCACTCTCATTTTTTTCACCCTCAGGAAACTCCAGGAAGAAAATGGAGACTGGGAACTGAAGAAACTATAAGGCATTCCCCCCCTCCCCGCCCCAATAACTTTGTCTTACATTTGTGCACTAAACCATGCTCAAATGCCTTCAATGGCTTAGTGTAGGTCTCTTAAGTACAATTTAAGATCCTCAATAAATATGTTCCTAACTGAAAGTTTTAGCTCTGTGCCTCCTCTTATATGATCTCTTCTTTGATCAAACTGATGCACACTTGATGGGCCTTTCTCTCCTCCTTACCTACAGTTTTCACTGGAACAACCTCCCTATCTCCTATCCTTGGATATGAAACTATTTCCACCTTTCAAGGTCATCAGCTGGGGTGTCATTTTCTACCTGCAGACGCTATAGTGTGTCCCTTCTTGCCTCACATTATAGGCAAAAGACTATGAACTGCGGGACGCAAGGATTCTAGTCTAATTACTATGTCTAGCCTTCATACATCCTCATGGAACACCTTGCCCAGATTGGAAACTGAGTGAATGAGAAAATTAAGTTATTAATTAACTTTCTGTCCCATAACTCCTTGTACATCGTTAAGTCTTTGGAGGTAGACTTGCCAGATTTAGCGAATCAAAATATAGGATACCCAGTTGTATTTGAATTTCAGATAACCAGTAATACTTCTTTTACTACAAGTATGTCCTATAAATTAATTATGACATAATAACAAATAATCTTTGTTTATATGAAATTCAAATTTTACTGGGCGTCCTGTATTTTATCTGGCAACACTACGTGGAGGGCAGGGGTTCCTCGAGGTGCCTGGCTTCTTCCCAGCAGGTGCTGGCGTCTGTGTACTTGCTAGAGCGAAACCCCAACCAGCCCCGCCTTTCACACCTGGTGTCCGTAGCAGGGCGGAGGCACAAGATCAGGAAAGACTGACACTCTGGTTGGAGACCGTCGCTCGAGACTGACAGAAAGGTCTGCACTCGGGAGGCCGCCTCACCCCGTGGGTTCCAAGATCCCTCAACTGGCTACCCCCTCTGACCACCAGTCCTACGTTCCACCTCGTGACCCGTCATCACTGAACTGGGGGGGGCGGGACTGCCCGGCTTGTCAATCGCTGCCTCCCATTGGCAGAGCTCTCCATCCGTTACTTTAACCCCGCCCATCAGACGGAAGCTTCCTAGGTTACGCCTATTCCGTGGGCCGCGGCGTAACTGGTGATTGGTGGAGAAAGCGGCAGCTATCCCTGCGGACGCGAGGAAGGGAGGGGACCCGGGAGCCTAGACGAGTCCGAGCGCGTCACCGCCTCAAGCTGCAGTAGTCGCCCGGGTCCCGCCGGCCAGCTCCGTGTTGCCCCGCACTGCTGCGGCCGCCACGGCACCATGGCTGTGTTTATCATGCTCCTGGCGTTGGTGGCGGGTGAGGAGCCGGGGGCGGGCAGGACGTACCTGGGGAGGCCCTGCGCCGCTGGGCTTGGGGGTCGGGGGCGGCTGCGGGCAAGCGGGGCGGGTGCCGCAGTGCGGTCAGTCGCGGAGGCCTCACCTCAGCCGCCTCCCCAATCAGCATCTTCTCCGGATCGGCCGTGGCGGCGCGGCCAGGCCGCCAGGGCCTGGCTGCGTAGGGGACCCCTGAGGCGGCCTCCACCATCCATTTCTTTGCGGAAGGCGCGTCCGGCCGGCCTCTTCCGTCTTGAGAGGCTCTTCGGAGTACGGAGATGCATTTCTCAATGAACTGCTAAACCGCAGCCTATTGCGAAGAAGGGAAGGCAGACTTTTTAGCTGCCACTGGCTGCCGCGATGTTTTTGCATTTGTATAGTGTCTTCATTTCTAGTAGTTGTCATCAGTAATTGCTGAAATCTCCTCCCTCATATATATTTCATGATGCAAAAGTTGAGATGGAGTCATTATTTTTATATGATTATTTCTTTTCTTTTATTTCTTTCTTTCTTTTTTTTTTTTTTTTTTTTTTTTGAGACGGAGTTTTGCTCTTGCTGCCCAGGCTGGAGTGTAACGGCGCGATCTCGGCTCACCGCAACCTCCTCCTCCCGGGTTCAAGTGATTGTCCTGCCTCAGCCTCCCGAGTAGCTGGGATTACAGGCACCCGTCACCACGCCCCGCTAATTTTTGTATTTTTAGTAGAGATGGGGTTTCACTGTGTTGGCTATGCTAGTCTCGAACTCCTGACCTCGTGATCCGCTCGCCTCGGCCTCCCAAAGTGCTAGGATTACAGGCGTGAGCCACCGCGCTCGGCCATATGATTTAAGGCGAATACAAAGCACCTCTTAATAGTTTTTCGAAGTTGCAAATTTTAAGGATTTGGAAACTAGGATATGAGTCACATATTTAGGGTCACATGTCACTAAATGGTAGCTTTCTGAGTAGAACCTAGGTTCCCAAGCATTCAGCAAGAGGAGAAGAAATCAGCTAATACGTGGCCTCTTACTGCTTATCATGTGGTAATGTATTTCACGTGACAGCAATCCTTAGAAGAAGGTATCATCTTCGTTTTGCAGGGCCATCAACCTAAATAAATTACCCAATGCTAAACAGGTAATAGCAAAGCTGGATTTGATTTCAGATGAGCTGGTGCCATGGATGGGCCTTTTCCATTATGTATGTTGTGTTGCACACGTAATGCTATTACTGTGTGAGAATGTGGGAGTGATGGGAGCTAAGATTGGAGGCACAGACAGTAGTGAACAAGAGGCCAAGTTGAGAACAGCTTGGAGGAATGCGTGCTCCGATTCTCAGTGTGTCAGTTTAAAACCTATGGGAGGCTGGGTGCGGTGGCTCCCGCCTGTAAGCCCAGCACTTTGGGAGGCCGAGGCAGGCGGATCACCTGAGATCAGGAATTCAAGACCAGACTGGCCAACATGGCGAAACTCCATCTCTACTGAAAATACAAAAATTAGCCGGTCATGGTGGGGCACACCTGTAATCCCAGCTACTCAGGAGGCTAAGGTATGAGAATCACGTAAACCGGGAGGCGGAGGTTGCAGTGAGCCAAGATCATGCCACTGCACTCTAGCCTGGGCGATAGAGCCAGGCCTTGTCTCAGAAGCAAGCAAACAAACAAACCAAAAACCTATGTGAGGTGTTGGGAGGTCCTGCTTTTGGAATGGTGATTTAATTCCGCGCCAGGATGCTCTTGAAATCTGCAGATCTCCTCTGTCCCTAGAGGTGCTGGATTTTATGTTAACGATAGCTATGTTGTATCCATGCCCCAAACGTTTTAGAGTTCTTTCTTCTGTTTCTGGCTCTGGAAAGATCATTCTGATCTACTGAGATACTTTGAGGGAATTAATTTTAATTCAGTTTTCTAAATTTAAAAAATGTTCCCTTTGATCCTGTGGTTTAACTGAATGTCTATTGAGATTCCATGTTTTAATGTTTTGACTGATATTATTTTGATTCAGTGAAGTATAAGCTTTTCTGTTTTGGGTCGGAGATAAAGTAATTGCTTCTGCACATGGTTTGAACATGCTTGCCTTACTAGCGTAGCCGAGTTCATACAGAACAAGAACCCGATCCTGTCAGCTTCTTAATTGCTCAGTCTTGTCAGATGAGGTTCAATTATTATTTTCCACAATGACTGAATGTGATGTAATGGAAAACATCTTTAAGAGCTCTGACTTCTCTATTCCAGGCAGAAACAAAAATAGAAATCCTTTAAAAACCGTATTACCAAACTAGAGAGCACTAGGGACTTAGAGAGAGAAAGGGAACTAGGGTTTTGAATACCATATCATGAGGAGTATTTGAAAAAAATTCAGATACTTAGCCTGGAGAAGAAAGGCCAAGGGTGAACACATGGAATTCGAAGTGATGTCATGTAGAAGAGAAGAGAGATAGGACCCATTTTATTATTATTGTTATTGATTGATTCCATCCACCATTCATAGACAATCATAGCACAGTATAGTGGAGTTCCTAGAGGGAAGGACACTTAGCCCAGACTGGGGAGGCTGAGGAAAATTTCCCATGGGAGGTGCCTCCCAGGGCTAATTTGTGAAAAGTTGGGGTGGGACGAAAATGTATTTGAAACAGAACAGTATGTGTAAAAGCACAGCAATGTGGGAGCAAAGGGGCAAGCAGTTTGGTGGGGCTGCAATGTACAGGGATTAAGTTGGGGAGATCCCAGAAAAAAGGTTGATGAGGTTCCTTGGGTGTTAATGTTTTGGGTTTTGCCTCAGTCTCTGGGCAGTGAGAGAAGGCATTTAAGCAGAAGAGTGAATGAACAGATGTGTATTTTGAAGCAGTTACGGGAAAGGCTGGATTGGAGAGTGGCATGACAAGGGTCATAAGGCAACCAATTCTAGCAAACCTGGTGAGGGCCTGAAGAGCGTGCCCTGGACATAGAGGGGAAAGGATTCATGAGATAAGAAAAACAAGATCAAATTCAGTGGCTAATTACCTGTGTTGCTGCGGAATGATTTAAAGACGACTGATTCCGGCCACTGAGTGAAGGCGGTATCATCCTTCAAGATAGAGAATACAGGAGAAGCGTGTGGAAAGATGGTGAATTCGGTGTTTTGGTGTTTGCAGCCTTAGGAGTAGATGAGCCCAGCCTGGGAGAGATGTAGAATAGGAAAGCAGTGAGAGTCAAGAATGGAGCCCTCAGATCTCCAAAGTGTAATATGCTAGGTGATCCATTTGGATCTCAGAAGAATGTACTAGAACTTTTATTTATGTCTTTTTTGTTCTTGTTTTTGAGACAGGGTCTCACTCTGTCATCCAGGCTGGAGTGCACTGGTGTGATCACGGCTCACTGCAGCCTCGACCACCCAGACTCGAGCGATTCTCCACGTCAGCATCCCTAGTAGCTGGGACACAGGTGCATGCCACCATACCCAGCTAATTTTTTATTTGTTTTTGTAGAGATAAGGTCTTGAACTCTTGGGCTCAAGTGATCCTCCTGCCTCAGCCTCCCAAAGTGCTGGGATTACAGGCAGATGTGAGCCATCTCACCCAGTATTCATCTATCTATCTACCTAACTGACTTTTTTTTTTTTTTTTAATTGAGATGGAGTTTTGCTCTTCTTGCCCAGGCTGGAGTGCAATGGCACAATCTCGGCTCACCACAACCTCCGCCTCCTGGGTTCAAGCAATTCTCCTGTTACAGCCTCTGAGTAGCTGGGGTTACAGGCGTGCACCACCATGCCTGGCTGATTTTCTATTTTTTTTAGGAGAGACAGGCTTTTACCATGTTGGACAGGCTGGTCTCAAACTCCTGACCTCAGCTAATCCACCTGCCCCAACCTCACAAAGTGCTGGGATTACAGGTGTGAGCCACCATGCCTGGCCTAATTTTTTAATTTTTAGTAGAGATGGGGTTTGACCATGATGGCCAAGCTAGTCTTGAATGCCTGGCCTCAAGTGATCCGCCTGTCTTGGCCTCCCAGAGTGCTGGGATTACAGGTGTGAGCCACCATGCCTGGCCTATTTTTATCTTATCTCTTTTTGAATAATAAATATGAGATATTTTGTAGACTGTCCCTCAGTTTGGGTTTATCTGATGTTTTCTCATGATTCGATTGGGAAAAATACTACACAGGTATATTATCCTTTAAAAAATTTTATTTTTGCGTGCTTTGTAACATAGTACAAATACATAATCTGTTACTATAGTGGAAGTATATACTTTACATGGAGAGGATGAGAGGGAGAGAGAGAAGAGAGAAAGACTACTTTTCCAGTTTTGTGCTGACAGGGTTGAAAGCTAAAAAGGTTGGCCACCACTGCTTTAAAGGACAGGAAGGGAAAGAAACAGAGGAGAGGCAGTCAAAGGGGTTGCAAGGAAAACCAGGGACTGTGGCTGCATGAAGACCAATGCAGGGGCCTTTCAAGGAGGGAGTTGCCAGTATCAAATGCTTTGGGAAGTTAGATGAAATTAAGGGAAGGAAATTGCCTTTTTAGTTTGGTGAGTTGTTTCAGTGGCATGGTGGGCTTGGAAGGGATGGGTGGCCGGGTGCAGTGGCTCATGCCTATAATCCCAGCACTTTGGCCAAGGCGGGCAGATCATTTGAGATCAGGAGTTCAAGACCAGTCTGGACAACATAGTGAAACCCCGTCTCTAGCCAGACGCGATGGCACGTGCCTGTAGTCCCAGCTATTTAGGAGGCTGAGGCAGGAGAGTAATCTCTTGAACTTGGGAGACGGAGGTTTCAGTGAGCCGAGATCCTTACCACTGCACTCCAACCTGGGTGACAGAACAAGACTCTTGTCTCAAAAAAAAAAATTATGCGGGTTAGGTAGTAAACGTAAAATGAAATATAGAAGCAAACAGTGGTTGATGGCTCTTCCTGGATGCTTCCTCTGAAGGGGAGCAGAGGCTGGTAGCTGGTGGAGACTGGTAGGACCAAAGGAGGTTTGTTAATGGTTTTAGTTATAGAATGGGAGTGCCCTGAGTATATATTTATGCTGAAGCGAAAGGGCCAGTGGAGAGGGAGAAAATCGGTGGTTTGAGGTGTGACTTCATTGGTGGTTTGAGGTGTCACTTTATTCATTCGTTAACTCAACAAGTACTTACTGAGCACCTGTGTGTCAGGCTCTGTTCTCAGCCCTGGGGATAGTGTGTGAACAAGATGCACTGAAATCCCTGCCTTCATGGAGCATGTATTCTATAGGGCCATCTTTTGATGCCTATTACCATATAGCCACCTAACTCCTGATATATTATCGGTCCTAGAATAGTGGTTTACTTAATAAACAGTGAAGGAACTAAGGTCCCTAAGAAGGCTGAACACAGGATTATCTTAGACTGGAGGAGGGACATCCCTGCCCTCATGTCTGGAGGGAGAGGAGGTACAGATGGGGGCTTATGCAGGTAAGTTTGTGGTGGGGAGAGGAAGCAGGTAGCTCAAGAAATTCCTCTGTTTTCTCTGTGAAGCTGGAGATGAGGTTATCTGTGAGGCTGAGTGGGGGAGCGATAGCATAGGAAGTTGAAAGTTAGGAAGCTCATTTCAGTTCAGTACAAGGAAAAAGTTTTCAAAGGACTAGAATGCTGGGACAATAGAGCCAGTTGCTGGCAAGTGTAGTTCATATATTGAGGTGGTGTCCCCATCACTGGTAGTATTCAAATAGAGGAGGGATGACTTTCTGACAGGTATCCCTGAGACATGCTTATACCTGTAAGCAGAAATTTGAACAAATGACCTTTCTCTGAATAGGAGTCCCTGACTCTGAGGTCTTTCCAAAGCTCTGGGCTTCTGAAGGACTGTTGTACAGGCATGGAAGTTGAAACTAACTATGAAGTTGAGGCAAATTATTTGATATAGGTTTGCTGGATTGAATGAGTAGGGCTATGTCTCAAAACAAGGGTCTCTCCAAATCAAAATATGGTTTTTTAAATGTGTATGGTACCTGGGGCCAGGCGTGGTGGCTCACGCCTGTAATCTCAGCGCTTAGGGAGGCCAAGGCAGGCCGATCACCTGAGGTCAGGAGTTTGAGACCAGCCTGCCGGACATGGTGAAACCCCGTCTCTACTAAAAATACAAAATTTAGCCAGGCGTGGTGGCATACGCTTGTAATCCCAGCTACTTGGGAGGCCAAGGCAGGAGAATCGCTTGAACCTGGGAGGTGGAGGTTGCAGTGAGCCAATATCGTGCCACTGCACTCCGGCCTGGGTGACAGTGCTGGACTCCGTCTCAAAACAAAAAACAAAATATGTTAGGGTACTTGGGAAGCATAGGTCTCTTGCTTCCCCATTTTTCTTAGTGTTTGCAGTAGTACTGCTTTAGTGAACCAAGATCTCTATCAGTTACAAAAGGCCATTCCATTCTGCTAATTTTTTGGTCTGTCTTCAGCTAGAGCAGTTTGGAAATTCCTGTTCTGACAGCTCTGCTGGATTGAAATTTGTAACTCTTCTTGTATCGGCACCATCCTGAGGCCTTTTATTTACTGTCAATATTGCAACATCAAAACATTTACTGTTGCTTCCAACTTTATTTCCATACCCTGTTAGTGGTACTTTCCTTAGGTCAAGAGAATAACACTGATGCTTTACTGAAGTCTAATTTTCCCATACTAGGTGTGTAACATTTGTTCTGGACTTGGAGCTAAATTTTTCATAGTAACCCAAAGCTTCCATTAGCTACTTGTCCCTGTGTAAGCTAGATATCACTAGGTTAATGAATAATGGATGAAGAGGCCAAATATGTCATCCTTAGCTGTGGAGGGCTTATAAAATAGTCCCTTTATTCTTATCTTTATCTTTTAATTCCAAATCCTTAGACTAGTTGACTTTATCATTACAGAATACCTTTTCTTACCCTCTTGACATGTCAACTACAAATACTATTTCCTGGACTTCGTTTCTAAAGTCTGAAGTGTTTTTATGTTTCCATTTGTGATATGTTATGTCCCCACCCACCCCCGCCACATTTGACAGTCCTCACTTCACTAGGGTTGCCTGTAGGACATAAGGAAAGATGTTACCTATCCTAAGATATACTAACCTGCCAAAATCTTATAATGCCATACTAGGAACTTTATGAATTTCCATTATGTAGAGAGGATTGCTGATAGAAATAATTTAGAGATTTCAAGTTTCTTTTCTTCCTTTTTAGTCTGTGCCTGGGTTTTGTTTTTTTGTTTTTTAAGTTTTGGAGATATGCCACTGATTTCTAATTCCTGCCAAATTGCTACATGCCTCTATTAAGAGCCATCAGTAGGAAGGTGTCTGTATCATTAGGAAACCCTGTTTTATAGTTGTACCTTTGTTGATCTCTTTTTGAGATTTTGTTTGTTTGTTTCTTGTTTTTATCAGGTAGCCCCTGAACCGGAATAGGTCCAGAGAGGCTCTGATAGTTGTACTTTTGCTCTAGCAGAATGTGTGGACTTAAATTCTTAGAGCGATACTTTGAAAAAGAATTTGTTATTGTTTAGGACTCAGCATTTTGACCAATCATAATTTAATGTGCTAAGTCAGTGGTGAATGGGGAAACATGTATTATATTTAATAATTGTCAAGGTAAAAGATTTATGATGTTGATGATTCATTTACTAATCTGTTTTCTTTTCAGGTGTTTTGGGGAATGAGTTTAGTATATTAAGATCACCAGGGTCTGTTGTTTTCCGAAATGGAAATTGGCCTATACCAGGAGAGCGGATCCCAGATGTGGCTGCATTGACCATGGGCTTCTCTGTGAAAGATGTATGTATATATTGTTTTAAATGTTGGGAGCTGCTTCTAAGAACATTTTTACTGATTTTTGCTAATAGCCCAAAAAAGCATCAAACAAACATAGGTACATTTGGTACAGATTACAAAAGTTAAAAAGCTCATCTGGAACAGGCGCAGTGGCTCACGCCTATAATCCCAGCACTCTGGGAGGCCAAGGTGGGAGGATCAGTTGAACACAGGAATTTGAGACCAGCCTGGGCAACATTTTGAGACCCCCATCTCAATTAAAAATAAATGAATTAATTTTTAAAAAGCCCATTTGTGGTCGGGAAGATTTTGGATAAGTGCTTCAAGCTTGGCTTCTGAAACAAATCATTAGAAATCATTTACTATATATTTATTCATAGTAGTGAAATTCTTTGTATATTAGAGAATATATCTGTCCTGGTATTAACAGGATATCTACTTTGTTTTTGTTTTTTTAGTACAGGTGATAGATTCACTATGATAAAATATATACGCATTATGCCTGAGGTTAGGAAAATAGTGTGGTTAGTGGCCACGGGGCAGCCAAGGACCTTGGTTTCCTAGAATGAAGCTATGACCTGTTGCAGTGATTGGTTGCTTATGTGATTATAGGGGGCGGGAGGGTCTAGACCCAGTCAATATCAGAGATTGGAAGCCAGGGCTTAGAAGAAAGGAAATGCAACTTGCTCTGTGCTATCATCTCCTTCTCTTTGTAAGTCTGGTGCTTTTGATGTAGCCTCTCAATATGTATCATCAGCCATTGAAAGGGACTTTTCTCCAAATCCTGAGCACTCCTGAAACCAGAAGCTCTGCATGGGAACTGCTTCACTGCCAGGCCTAAGGGCAGAGCCCCTGAGCTCTTTGCAGTCTTTTGGCAACCAAAGTGAACATGATTGGTTGTTTACATTTAAGGATACAATTTGTACCTAGTTCTTTTTTTAGAGACAGGGTCTGGCTCTGTCACCCAAGCTGAGTTTGAGATGGCTTACTGCAGCCTCAAAATCCTGTGCCCAAGTGATCTTCCTGTTTCAGCCTCCTGCCTCAGCCTTCTGAGTAGCTAGGACTACAGATGCATGCCATCATGCCCGGCTAATTTTTGAGTTTTTTGTAGAGACAGGGTCTCGCTATGTTGTCTAGGCTGGTAGGTCTTTAACTCCTGGCCTCAAGCAGCCTTTCTGCCTCAGCCTCCCAAAGTGTTGGGATTACAGGCATGAGCCACCGCACCCAGCCTGTACCTAATTCTTTTTCTGTTTTGTTTTCTTTTGTGGTTTTTTTTGACAGAATCCTGCTCTGTCGTCCAAACTGGAATGCAGTGGCCCAATCTCGGCTCACTGCAACCTCCATCTACCAGGTTCAAGTGATCCTCCCACCTCAGCCTCCCCAGTAGCTGGGATCACAGGCACACAACACCATGCCCAGATAATTTTTGTATTTTTTGTAGAGACAGGGTTTAGCCATGTTGCCCATGCTGGTCTTGAACTCCTGGACACAAGCAATGTACCTGCCTCAGCCTCCCAAAGTGCTGGGATTACAGGCATGAACCACCATACCCAGTCATCTAGTTCTTTGGTTTTTTTGTTTTGTTTTGCTTTGTTTTGAGACGGAGTCTCGCTCTGTCACCCAGGCTGGAGTGCAGTGGTGCGGTATCAGCTCCCTGCAACGTCTGCCTCCCAGGTTCAAGCGATTCTCCTGCCTCAGCCGCCCAAGTGGCTGGGATTACAGGCACCCGCCACCAAGCCTGGCTAATGTTTTGTATTTTTAGCAGAGACAGGGTTTCACCATGTTGGCCAGGCTGGTCTCGAACTCCTGACCTCAGGTGATCTTCCTGCCTCGACCTCCCAAAGTGCTGGGATTCTAGGCGTGAGCCACTGCACCCGGCCCCAACCATCTAGTTCTTTATAACCTTAAACTTGACTACAGATGGCTGTTAAAATAACTTTGAGAAAATAGTTAATAGGAATTGTTTTATTTATAAAGAGCTTAGTCTAAAGAGGATGTTTGCATGACCATCTTGCTATGTCACTGTGAAAGATAAAAGTGATGCTATATATAAGGGCAGAAAATGATGTGGAGGAAGAAAATGTCCATGGCTACCTGAAGAAAAGAATTATTTTGCAATCTGAAATTTGAAAATTACCTATGGTTTACTTGCCTGCTTTTTTTCCACAAAAGGTGTGAGATGACTTACTATTAGACTTTGTTTCCAATCTGTAGAATTTTAAGAAAATGAAGAGGGTAAAAATCAGCATTCTTGATTAGGAGATTGCAACAACTGCCGTAAATAAAATGTTTACTTTCCCTGTGAAGTTTGTCAGTGTCATCCCAGAACCCCTTAACTCGGCTTGTTAGATGTTATTGGCAGGGTGGGTTCCTGAGTTGATAATCAAGCACCGTTTTGTGCTTTTCAACGTTTAGGACCTTTCTTGGCCAGGACTCGCAGTAGGTAACCTGTTTCATCGTCCTCGAGCTACCATCATGGTGATGGTGAAGGGAGTGGACAAACTGGCTCTACCCCCAGGCAATGTCATTTCGTACCCTTTGGAGAATGTGAGTATTTATTATAAAAAATTAAAGGGATGCATTTTGCATTTTACATTTTCCCCTGTCAGCTGTCATTATGAATTCCATTCTAAACATACTTCTCTTACCTGTTTTTGATGCACAGTTGCTTTTGAAATTCTTTCAAAAACAATTTTTTTAAGAAAATTACATGATGATTATAATCGATTGAGACTTGGCTGTTCTCTGTGGATGCGAGTACTGTTTAAGATAAGAGAGAAATTGCCCCACTCAAAATAGTGAGAGACTCAAAAAAGAGAGCCACCAAAGGAGAAACCAGTTGTGGATGTCTGCTGCTGCCATTTTCTTGGCCACTGGCTTGTCATCTTCCCTGAAGGATTTTACCTCTGTGTGTGTGTAAGGACAGTGGAGGCTGCTTGCTGGCTCACTTACTCCTTCACTGGCCATTCCGGCAATGTGGGTGACTGTGCTGATCTGAGAGGTCCTCCTTCCATTATAAGCATATAGAAGTGCTTCAAAGAATGTCACAAAAACATTTTTACTAGCATAACTAAACTTGAATGCAAGAATGGGTGGTACACACAAGTGGTACATATGGATGGGGAACACAGAAGCCATACTGGTGAGCAGGAGCGGACACTGAAACTGTGTTTGCTGCAGAAAGCCAGGGACTAGAAAATGCTGTCAGCTTGTTCTTGAAAAGAGGACTAGTAAAACCCCAGGTGCCTCAGGGCTGTTGCACAGGAGCTGGCTTGCTGCCCTTGGCTGTTGGACCCGGAATTCCCTGAGATAAATTAGAATTATAGGCTTATGCTGTGCAGAGTGGTTCTTTCCAAATTCACACGACCTGCACCACGGGGATACCTCCACAGCCAAGGGCTCCTTTGGTGAAAAATGGAAGATGAGTGGAATTTACAAAGCACCTGAAGGAAAAAAAAATGCCATGAGAAACCAGGTGCAACAAACAGAATTCATCTCCTTAGAACTACGGATAATAGGCCAATTTTAAAGAGATTTAAAAATACATACATTAAAATTGTGAATTAAAAAAAAAGGGCCAGTCATGGTGGCTCATGCCTGTAATCTCAGCACTTTGGGAGGCCAAGATGGGTGAATCACTCGAGGCCAGGAGTCCAAGACCAGCCTGGTCAACATGGCAAAACCTCATCTCTACTAAAAATACAAACATTAGCCAGGTATGGTGGTGTGTGCCTGTAATCCCAGCTACTCCAGAGGCTGAGGCAGGAGAATCGCTTGAACCCGGGAGGCGGAGGCTGTAGTGAGCTGAGATCATGCCACTGTACTCCAGCCTGGGCGATAGAGCAAGACTCTGTCCAAAAAAAAAAAAGTGATGCTGGGATTTCATCAGTAAGACATAATCACATTGATTTCTGCCTGTACCACATTAGCGTTACTTTGCTACTTAAAAACATGAATCTTTAGGTAGTAAGGGAACTACTGAATGGAAGAGCAACATAAGAAGTCTCCATTGAAACAAAAACACGACTGTACTTCTTGTTTTAATACAGTAATACTGGGAATCAAATAATTTTTTGAGGAGAAAAATAATTTTTTTTTTAAAATCATGTAGTACAAAACAAATCTATAGGGATAGAAGTCAAAATTTTCGTTACCCTTGAGGGTGAAGGTGGTACTTCGAGGGTGCTGATAGTCTTCTGTGTCTTGATCTGGCTGGGCTACCTGAGTGCATGTATTTGTAAACATTTGTTTAGCTATTACCCCAAGATTTGTACACTCTATTATATGTATTTTACACTTTAATAAGAAATTCAAGAAAAAAATTAGGTCTTATCACAATTGGTTATTTTAATCTAGTAATATTATCATGTCCTAAGATAAAGGCTTCAAAAACCTTATGACATGCTTAACACCTTACCTAAGAGTCTTTAGGCTATCTGAAGACAAATGTTAAATCTCATTAAACATTTTTAAAATTTTGATATAAAAGATCAGTTCCATTTTTATTTCAATTAAATTCAATACTTAGATTCCTCTAACCTCTTCAATGCAAGTTAAATAATTTATTGTGGAATACACATTCATCGTGGCACATTTAATCAATATTGAAACCAAATGTATTGCTGCTTCAAATACATAAATGACCACTAGAAAATGGTTTGTGCTATATATAGTGTTGTGTCTATCAGGTTTAAGTTATTTTCCACCAAAGCACATTGGGAGATACAGACTCGGCCTACCAGGGGGCTGTTTAATCTGTGCCCTCAGAAAGGCTTGTTTGGAAATGATTTGGTGCTTCTATACTTCCATAAAAAAATGCTGGAAAAAAAAATTTAAGGCTTCTTTTTAAATACCATCTGAATGATTCTTCCCACTTTGGTTCACATAATCATTGCGTTCTTACTCTTAAATTTCAGGCAGTTCCTTTTAGTCTTGACAGTGTTGCAAATTCCATTCACGCCTTATTTTCTGAGGAAACTCCTGTTGTTTTGCAGTTGGCTCCCAGTGAGGAAGTAAGTGATAAAAGTTTTTAAGACATCTTTAAAAATAAACTTTTATATTTAAAACTTTATTATGAAATGTAATTTATGAAAATTTAATACTAATTTATAAACAATGTTGTCATACCTCTGTGTATTGGAATTAATCTGTAGAATGTGAGTAACTTAAAATTTTCTATTCTTCTTACAGAGAGTGTATATGGTAGGGAAGGCAAACTCAGTGTTTGAAGACCTTTCAGTCACCTTACGCCAGCTCCGTAACCGCCTGTTTCAAGAAAACTCTGTTCTCAGTTCACTCCCCCTCAATTCTCTGAGTAGGAACAATGAGGTAAGTGCAGTTATTCAACAAATACATGAATATCATTATTAATTTCCTTCTTTTTAAAAAATAGAGACAGGGTCTCGCTCTGTTGTCTAGGCTGGTCTCAAACTCCTGGCCTCAAGCAGTCCTCCTGCCTCTGCCTCCCAAAGTGCTGGGATCACAGGCATGAGCCACTGTGTCTGGCCTCCCATTCCTTATACTACTTGAAATTTTGGTATTTTAGAAAATGAAAAATTGTGCACATTTACTGCTGGGATAGAGTCTTCTTTAGTGTAATTTTCTTAGGACTCTCATGAATAAACTGATCCTTTTTGTGAGTTGAGCTGTGGTAAATAGCATCACATTTTAGCACAAGGGTTGCCACCTATTAATTCAAACAGGCCAGAGGTCATAGGATCTACTTGGTGACTGGTGGAGCTGTGTGGATCTGGTAACTTGGAAACCGTTGTTCACTGCCTCTGCTCATGTGTTGCCATATTTTTCTCATTCATTCTGGACATTGCAGTGGAGGGAGCCACCTCTACTTTTGACTCCTGTCCTTCAACGTATCCATCTGCTTATGTACCCTCTTAACCATGTGGCATGCCACCTTCAAGGTGGCCTCCTCATTTACTGTGGGTGACCAGGGCCATCATCTTTTATTCTCTGATGTGGAAACTATTCAAGGGAAGTGAGCAAACTGGGCCAATGGTAGGATCTCATTGCAGAGTGCCAGGATATCCTGATGCTTTGAAGGAAACCACTTGAGAACTTGCTTTATGGTTTGCAAAAATAGAGCTATTGAGTGGCAGTCACTCTGCTAGGGAATGGCTATCACCTTTTTGTTAGGAAATAATGTTTTATATGCATTTTCAGTTGAAGCAAACATACCAAATGGAAGATAATTACATAGATTCACTTATATGATCAACATTTGTAATATCTTGTCCCTTATTTGATAAACGGCAAATAAAGATCTCTGGTGCACATTTAAAAGAATGCTCTTTTTTTGGGGCTCTCTGAAGGTTGACCTGCTCTTTCTTTCTGAACTGCAAGTGCTACATGATATTTCAAGCTTGGTAAGTAGGCTGCTCTAATTTTTCAGTTCCATTTATTTTGGTTTCTAGAGAATCCTTGAATGATAGTGAAGCCAGTTGAAAAGTTTGATTAAGTATGCCCTAGATTTATGATCCCATGAAAATTGAAAAATTAGTGGCGATATTGGGAATTGTGAACACATCCATGTCACAGTCAAATTATTTTGCGTTTCCCCTTTTTAGGGAGAGACAGCATATCCTCCAAGAACACAAGCCTGGGCATAAGAACACCCCAGCTGTAGTCCTAACTTGGCTGTTGATTTCTTGTCAGACTTTAAGACTTAATTTTTAGCTATATCTTTGGGTCGAAAATAGAAATAATAGTTTGGACTAATAATGCTGTCAGTCAAGTCAAAAAGGGATGAAATCTGCCTGAAGGGTATGTTTTTGGTGAATGATTTTTTAAATCATCATCCTTGTTACTGAAATAGAAATTCTTACCTGTTTGCTGTCTTCTGAGGTTGTTTTCCACACTTCTTCAACAGGTGTTGGTTTGGGGAGTTGGGAAGTATAGTGCATTCCTGGGATCAAACTGGTCCAGCCATCTGTTCTTTTATACCTTGCCCACACCTAAGTTTTTAAAACTGAGGCATTTTGCTGAAAGCTTTTATTAAATATCCAAGGAGTCTTGTACTGCTCCTAAATGTGAGATTCGTGTTGGATTTATCAGAAACGCTTATTCAAGACAGTTTCTTTTGCCACCGTTTTAGACTATTTGCATGTTGTGGTTCACTGGTATGGTTTAGTTTAGCCTAGTTTAGGCATAAAACTTTAACTGGCTGTGTTTGACATCTTTCATCTTTATCCACTACCTGTTTTGGTTTGTTTGTTCTCCTAAGCTGTCTCGTCATAAGCATCTTGCCAAGGATCATTCTCCTGACCTATATTCACTGGAGCTGGCAGGTTTGGATGAAATTGGGAAGCGTTATGGGGAAGACTCTGAACAATTCAGAGATGCTTCTAAGATCCTTGTTGATGCTCTGCAAAAGGTAAATATCAATGCGATAGGAGAGGTTAAGAGTATGAGTGTTTCACTTTTTGCCTCTTAATGGAAAAATCTGCTCTGTTAAACACTGTTGATTGAAGACTTACTTGCCTTCTTTGGGGCTCCTCTAATTATGCTGGCCAAGGATGGAGTAGGGTCAAAGATGTATATTGATATATTTCTTCCTAATGCTAGAAAGAATGGCACTAGGAAAAGTTACGTCACACAAAACTTTACAAAATTATTGTGGTAAAATATATATAACATAAAGTAACCATTTTGACCATTTTTAATTGTACGTTTGAGTGGTATTTAGCACATTCACATGTTGTGCAGCCATCACCATCTTCTATTTCTAGAACTTTTTTATCTTCCTCAACTGAAACTCTGTATCCCTTAAACACTATGAGATAACTGAAGTAGAACGCCCAGCACAGTCCCAGACACTTAGCAGATGCATAATCAATACTAGTTCCCCTCTGCCCTTGAAATCGTTCACCGGCATCCTTTCAGTGAGGCTTCATATTTTAATCTCTGTGGATGTTTGTGATTAACCGGAGACCACTTAGGAAGGTTTCTTCATTTTTCTTTCCAACTTCTCTTCCTCCAATTTATATGCCGACAAATTCAGTGTCTTCTTAAAGTAATTTTATTTTGAACATTTGAATATATGTTAAACATTCAAATATCTGTCAAACATTTGAATATATGTTAACACTTTTCTGTATAGTTGAGCATAATCAAAGCCTTTAAAACTTGCTTATTTTAAGATGTAGTGTATTTCATGAGCCAGGAGGTAAGTGTACATTGTTACTGTAGTTGCACGAAAGCTTTACAAATAATTTTAATAAGTCTGTTTGACTCATTGCATGAAATGATAAGTAGTGAGGTAATGCATATGTTAATTAGCCAATGTGGACTTAAGCCATTCCACAATCTATACATATTTCAAAACAGTATGTTGATGTGATAAATATATATGATTTTAATTTGTCAAATAAAAATTTAAAAAGTACACATTTGAGATTCCCAATAATGTTAATAACTAACTTTCAGTTTGCAGATGACATGTACAATCTTTATGGTGGGAATGCAGTGGTAGAGTTAGTCACTGTCAAGTCATTTGACACTTCCCTCATTCGGAAGACAAGGACTACCCTTGAGGCAAAACAAGCGGTGAGTATAGATACTGCTTTAAAACTGTAAAATCAGCTTTTTATTAAAAAAAAACAACCAAGTCCTATATCACCTATGGGTGACATGAATGAGCAATCAATAAATATAAGCTGCTTGTTCACATAAGGATGTGTATTTTGCCTGTGATAATCAGTTCTTTGGGGTTATAATTAGATAATGCAAGAATTTGAGTTAGAGGTAAAAGTAAATCGTCCAAGATTATAATTCAAATGTCAGTATACACAAGGAGACATCAGAAGTTAATGTGGCACCAGATGCAGTGGTGTGCACCTGTCATCTTGGCTCCTCAGGAGTTTGAGGCCAGTCTGAGCAAACATAGTGAGAACCTGTTTTGAAAAAAAGAAGTGAAGGTGTGTGGAAATGGTGTGGTGCCCACATCCTGTGGGCTCTGCTTTTCTAGGAGGCACATTGTCTTTGTGACACAGTCCCTTACTTACTGAGATCCTCTGTGTGCCCCTCTTTATAATTTTCATTTACCTCAACAGTTTTTTGGGTATGGATCTTGCTTCAATTTTAAGCATTTAGAGGGTCAGGATTAAGCATTCCCATGGTTACTGGCCATGGTAAAACACATAAGTACGAGCACATTTACATACATACGTATGTACTTAAAGCTGCAGCAGAACCTAGGGAGGGTGATGGGAAAGAGTAGTGTAGATACTCGCTAACATCCTACGCCCAAGAACATTGCTTAGGGCTAGCTGCATCACTTGCAGCATTTCAGCTATCCAGTCAATTACATACAACCCCGCTTCAGACCCATTTGCAGCCCCCACCCTGCTCAGTTTTACTGACCTCAGTGTGGGACTTAGAGTCAGAACGTCGAAGCCAGTGCCTATTTGAGATAGTCTAGTGATGACTGGTTTGAGATTGTTTCTTTCTAAATTAAACTGGGGATGGAAGGACCTCTGTTTCAGACAGCATGTCAGACTAGACAACCCCCCAAAATTTCCTACCATAAAACATCTAGAAATGCTGGATAAAAATAGACCTTTAAAAAAGTACACAGTTTGGGCCGGTACAGTGGCTCAAGCCTGTAATACCAGCACTTTGGGAGGCTGAAGCAGGAGGATCATCTGACGTCAGGAGTTCCACACCAGCCTGGGCAACATGGTGAAACCCCGTCTCTGCTAAAACTACAAAAATTAGCCAGGTATGGTGGCGGGCGCCTGTAATCCCAGTTACTTGGAAGGCTGAGCCAGGAGAATCACTTGTACCCTGGAGACAGAGGTTGCAGTGAGCCACGATTGCGCCACTGCACTCCAGCCTGGGAGTCAGAGCGAGACTCCGTTTCAAATAGATAAAAACTTAAAAAATAAGAAGTACATAGTTCAGCTGGAAAGAAAGGGAAATTCTCTTACAAAGTAACTAAGAGGAATCTGAATGTGGCAAGCAGGCCACCCTAAGTATGTTTGCCAGCCGGGTGACCAAGAGGCCTTTGGTGCCTTGTGTGTGGGGAATGGGAATGGCCACCTCCAGATAAAGCTGGGGACCCTGAAAGAGCTGTGCCCTCAGCGAGAGGGTAGACTGAAAAACAATCTGCCTGCCAGCAAAGGGAAATAGAAAGGCACCTGGGCTCTGGGTGGCTGGCACATGTGTTTACAGTGGGAATGCCTCCCAGAGAATTTTTCCTTTTTTTTTTTTTTTGAGATAGGGTCTCACTCTGTCACCCATGCTGAAGTGCAGTGGCGCAGTCTCAGCTCACTGCAGCCTCTGCCTCCCAAGTTCAAACAATTCTCCCATCTCAGCCTCCCGAGTAGCTGTGACTGCAGGTGTGCACCCCCATGCCCGGCTAATTTTTTTGTATTTTTAGTAGAGATGGGTTTTCGCCATGTTGCCCAGGCTGGTCTTGAACTCCTGGGCTCAAGCCAGCTGTCTGCTTTGGCCCCCAAAATGCTGGGATTACAGGTGTGAGCCACCACACCTGGACCTCCCTCCTCCTCTCCCTCCTTCCCCTCCTCCCCCTCCCCCTCCTCTTCTCCTTTTCTTTTTCTTCCGTTTTTTCTTTTATTTTCTATCTTTTTTTCTCTTTCCCTCAACTCCATACTAATGCTCTTACCTACTTCATAGAGAAAAAGAGGCCTCAACATGAGGTTTCTTTTTTTCTGAGACTAAGTCTTGCTCTGTCACCCAGGCTGGAGTGCAGTGACACAACTCTTACTGCAACCTCCACCTCCCCAGTTCAAGTGATTCTCCTGCCTCAGTCTCCCAAGTAGTTGGGACTACAGGCGCTGGCCACCACAGCCAGCTCATTTTTGTTCTTTTAGTAGAGACAGGGTTTTATCATGTTGGCCAGGCTGGTCTTGAACTCCTGGCCTCAAGTAATCTGCTCACCTCAGCCAACCAAAGTGCTGGGATTACAGGCATAAGCTACCGTGCCCAGCCCATGAGCTTTCTTTTTAGGGTGATAGAAATGTTCTAAAATTTTGGCAATGACTGTGAACCCACTAAAATTCATTGAATTGTACACTTAAAATGGGTAGGAAAAAGAACCTGTTTATCAGGGAAAAAAAAAAAAGGAAAGAAAGAGGTCTCCATGGGTGTGAAATTCTTTTAACATTTGCCTCAGCTCTTGAGTTCCCCGCAGGTAAATACGCATGTCTGTGTACCCATTCTCTCCTACAGTTGAAATGACTCTCTTCCATTAGTTTAAGGAGACAGGAGTTTAGGGAACATTTGCTGAGTGCTGCAACATGCCAGGTGCTGGGGCTGTAGGGACAAATAGACGTCGGTTACATTTTCTTTTTCATCCTCACTGCCAGGCACCCTGCCCCGATGTCTCCCACCTCATTTGGCTGCTGCCTCCTAACTTGTCTGAACTCATCTGTCTCTCTGCTTCCCAGCTGGCTCCTCCCAAATCCATCCTACACATTGTCATCATAGTTATCTTTTTTCTTTTCTTTTTTTTTTTTTGAGACAGGGTCTCGCCCTATCCCAGGCCGGAGTGCAGTGGTGCAGTCATAGCACATTGCAACTTCAAACTCCTGGGCTCAGGTGATCCTCCTACCTCAGCCTTCTGAGTAGCCAGTTCTGTAGGCTCGAGCTACCACACTCAGCTAACTTTTTCATGTTATTTTTTTAAGACAAACCTGATCATGTCACTCACTTTCTGCCTAAAGCTTGTCAGTGGCTCCTTATTGCCCAGAGGCTCATGTCAGATTTTCTGTAGCTTTCCTGCTTCTAGCTTCACCTCCTGCTGTGTTCCTGCTTTTAAAATTCTCTAGCCAGAATGAATGATGTTTCCCAAACAATGCCTTTGTCAGAATGAATTCAGTTTTTCAAACAATGTTTTTATACAGCTCTGTATTTTTAAAAAAATGTTAAGTGGATCATACATATATAAGTATATAACATATTTAATACTAGTTATTTAACGAATAAAAATAATAACACTATATAGCTCCATTTTCACATGGCTATAAAGAACTAATACTGTAATTTATAAAGGAAAGAGGTTTAATTGACTCACAGTTCCCGCTCGGCTGAGGAGGCCTCAGAAAACTTACAATCATGGTGGAAGGTAAAGGGGAGACAGGCACCTTCTTCACAAGGCGGCAGGACAGAGAGAGAGAAAGTGCCATACTTTTAAACCGTCAGAGCTCATGAGCCCTCCCTATCATGAGAACAGCATGGGGGAAACCGCCCCTGTGATCCAGTCACCTCTCACCAGGTCCCTCTCTCGATGTGTGGTGATTACAAATCGAGATGAGATTTGGGTGGGGACACAGAGCCAAACCATATCAATAGCTTAAGAGAATGCTTGCTCCTTTGACACTTCCTATTTCCTCCCTCTACCCTCCCTCATCCAGAGGTAACTGCTGGCCTGGATATCATGTTAATCATTCCCTTACTTTTCTTTATGGATTGACTACATTTGTAATTTGTCCTTAAACAGTATTGTTTGGTTTTCCCTGTATTAGAATTTTATATAAATGGAATCATACTATATGTATTTTTCTGTGTTCCTCATTCAGTATTCTTTTTAAGATTCACTCAGGCTGACGAATGTAGCTGTAGTTACTTTACTGTTACATATTCTGCTTTGGGATACACCACAATTATCCATTCTGTTGATGATTTTTTGTTTGAGACACAGTCTCACTCTGTTGCCCAGGCTGGAGTGCAGTGATGCAATCTCAGCTCACTGCAACCTCTGCCTTCATGGTTCAAGGGATTCTCGTGCCTCAGCCTCCTGAGTAGCTGGGATTACAGGGGCCTGCCACCACACCCAGCTAATTTTTGTATTTTTAGTAGAGACAGGATTCCACCATGTTGGCCAGCAGGCTGGTCTCAAACTCCTGACCTCAGGTGATCGGCCTGCCTCAGCCTCCCAAAGTGCTGGCACGACAGGCATGAGCCACCATGCCCAGCCTTGTTGATGATATTCTTAAACACGTCTCTTGGTACACATATAGAAATTCTCCCTAGCGTCTGGACTTACTGGATCACACGATATGTACACCATCAACTTTATTAGGTATTGTCAAATTTTCCCAAGCAGGTGGACTGGTTTATACTTCCACCATCAGTGCAAGTATCTTCTCCATGAAGGCGCTCCTTCTTGCTTCCTCCTAGTATAAGTAGCTCTTATGCCACTTAATGAAGAAATGTTTGTTAGACAAATGAGTCATAGCCACTAGACTGGGCTAACTTCTGTCTTAAAATTCTTCCCTCTTTTCTTTTTTTTCTATATTGTAGAAGAACCCAGAAAGCCCCTATAACCTAGCATATAAGTATAATTTTGAATATTCTGTGGTTTTCAACATGGTACTTTGGATAATGATCGGCTTGGCCTTGGCTGTGATTATCACCTCTTACAATATTTGGAACATGGATCCTGGATATGACAGCATCATTTATAGGATGACAAACCAGAAGATTCGAATGGATTGAACATTCCTTGTGCCAGAGTTAGAAAAGGGGGCTGGAAATTGGCTGTTTTGTTAAAATATATCTTTTAGTGTGCTTTAAAGTAGACAGTATACTTTAAATTTATTTTTAAAAGATCAAATTTTGTTCTCTATTTTGTGTGTGCCTGTGATGTTTTTCTAGAGTGAATTATAGTATTGACGTGAATCAAACTGTGTGGTGTAGATTCCGTAATATTCTTGAATATTATAATATAGCCATTTAACCTGATTTCATTCTATTTAATGAATTTGGAAATATGCACTGAAAGAAATGTAAAACATTTAGAGTAGTTCATGTTATTTATGATGGAAAATAATGCACTGAACTTATTAGACCAACTTAGGAATGCTTAAGTTCTTTACACAGCATAGGAGAAAATCATATTTGGGAGATTGATTTGTAAATGTCTTAATTTGATGTAAATAACTCTGAAACAAGAGAAAAGGTTTTTAACTTAGAGTAGCCCTAAAATATGGATGTGCTTATACAATCACTTAGTTTTGGAACTGTATCTGAGTGACAGAAGACAGCTGTTTTTTAACCCTTTTCTGCAAGTTTGTTGACCCACATGGTCTAGTATGGATACTAAAAATGCTACATTGATCTAAGAAGAAACTAGCCTGTGGAGTATATAGATGCTTTTAATTCTACACACAAAAATCCCCGAGGGACATTTTGAGGCATGAATATAGAATATTTTTATTTCAGTAACTTTTCCCCCTGTGTAAGTTACTATGGTTTGTGGTACAACTTCATTCCATAGAATATTAAGTGGAAGTGGGTGAATTCTGCTTTTTATGTTGGAGTGGACCAATGTCTATAAAGAGTGACAAATAAAGTTGATAATGATTCCAAATTTGTGTCATTGCAGTACTGCATCTATTTTATATCATAAAAACTTAACAAAACAGGCTTTTCTTTCTTTTCTTTTTTTTTTTTTCACTTCACAATTCTTTTATGACTGACAGGCTTTTCTTACATCAGGATTGGCTCTTTTGTTGTACAGATGATTTCATGCTGTTTCTTTTACATTTGTTTTTGTTTTTTTTAATTTTTTTTTTCTTATTTTGTTTTCTTTTATATTTGTTTATTCTCACTTCCTCCTGAGATTTAGTACTAATAAAAGAAAGGCATTTTAATTACCATTCTTGTTACTGAATTTATATGGAATATGTGAGAAATTCATACTTTATGTAGAAAAAGGTTAAATTTTTCTATAGCTTTTTTTTTTTTTTAATTAAAAACATTTTAGAGACCAGTCTTGCTCTGCTGCCCAGGTGGAACTCCTGGCCTCCAGTGATTCTCCCACCTCAGCCTCTCCAGTAACTGGGATTACAGGTACACACCACTGCACTTGGCCTCGTAGCATTTTTAAAGATGAATAAGCAATGAATTGGTTAGAATATGAAGGACTGTCTCAGGTAAAGGTTTAAGGTAACAATTTTTTTTTTCAAAAAACATTGTAGAATCTTTAACTTCATAATTATATAGCGAGATTATTTTAGTATGAGCATTGTAGCCCTGACCCTGGGATCCTTCCTTGGGTTTATATTAGCTGTTTCTGCATCTTCTTTGCAAAGATCATCAAACTGTTTCTAAATAGCATTGAGTTGGCAGGTTTGAGAAGGTAGGATTTATTTGGTTGTGTTTTCTATCACTTACTGCAAGATGCCCTTGAAAATTACGGTGTCAAACCCCAGTAGAGTGGAGGAAATTTTGGTTATCTTTTTGCCTGTCTTTGAAATATAAATAATAGGTAAGCTGATACTCAGTTTCACAGGGAAGAAAAACTACATTGTTCTTTTTAATTTTTTTTTCTTTTTGAGACGGAGTCTTGTTCTGTTGCTCAGGCTGGTGTGCAATGGCATGATCTCGGCTCTCTGCAACCTCCGCTTCCCAGCTTCAAGCGATTCTCCTGCCTCAGCCTCCTGAGTAGCTGGCATTACTGGCACCCGCCACTGCACCCAGCTAATTTTGTATTTTAGTAGAAACGAGATTTCACCATCTTAGCCGGGTTGGTCTCGAATTCCTGACTTCGTGATCCACCCGCCTCGGCCTCCCAAAGTGCTGGGATTAGAGGTGTTCTGCCAAAAAACTACATTGTTCTAAAATCACTCTTCCATCCCTACTTCCTGCCAGAGTGATGGGGTGAGGGTTTTTCAGCTGCTTTTCACCAAAACAGTTCCCACTCTGACCTCCATGGAATGCAACACGGTTGCAGGAACCTATCATGCTGCAGGGTGGGTAGAATTCATTTGTCTTTCACAACTTTCTTAGATAAACATTGCCAGAGAAGTTAGATTGTTATGATTAAATATGAAATAAACCAATGCCTTTGTAATTTAAAACTGATGAGACTTTAAGTTGTAGGGGAAGAGAAAAAAATAATTACATGACAGCACTAATCCGTATAGGGTAAATGGCATCAGCATCCTTCTATCTGCCTTTCTAGGCAGAAAGCAATTCATTAAAATAAATGTTCTGCCAAGATTATTATACCTGTTGCTGATGATTTGCTCTTAAATTAATTCTAATTTGTTCAGGAACATAAATCACAGTGTCGAGATTTGTGTGAGAGGCAGAAAAGGCAGACTCATGGCAGATGATTCCACTGACACTGAAAGAGAAAACCCAAACACTATGTCTCATTGGTGGACTATTCCAGGTTTATAAAATATCGAGATTCTGCATATGTAGATACTGCTTATGGCCTAATAGGAATAATATATAATTGATTTTTATTTTCTTAGATGTTTTGTTGAAGGAATAATAATCTGAATCCATTTTCATTGATGCCAAGTAATATGGAAACCGTAAACTTTTTTTTTTTTTTTTTGAGACTGTGTCCTCTGTTGCCCAGGCTGAAGTGCAGTGGCACAATTTCAGCTCTACAGCATCAACCTCCCAGGCTCAAACTATCCTCCCACCTCAGCCTCCCAAGTAGATGGGACCACAGGCATGTACCACCACGCCTGGCTTTTTTTTTTTTTTTTTTTTTTTTTTTTGAGACGGAGTTTCACTCTTGTTACCCAGGCTGGAGTGCAATGGCGTGATCTCGGCTTACCGCAACCTCCACCTCCTGGGTTCAAGCAATTCTCCTGCCTCAGCCTCCTGAGTAGCTGGGATTACAGGCACGCGCCACCATGCCCGCTAATTTTTTTTGTATTTTTAGTAGAGATGGGGTTTCACCATTTGACCAGGATGGTCTCGATCTCTTGACCTCGTGATCCACCCGCCTCGGCCTTCCAAAGTGCTGGGATTACAGGCTTAAGCCACTGCACCCGGCCTGCCTGGCTCTTTTTTTAATTTTTTGTACACATGGGGTCTGTGTTGCCCAGGCTAGTCTCGAACTCCTGGGCTCAAACAATCCTCCAGCCTCAGCCTCCCAAAGTATTGGGATCACAGGCATGAGCCACTGCACTCCCAGCCTAAACTTAACTTTGTTGGGGGACAGAGTCTTGCTTTGTCACCCAGGCTGGAGTGCAGTGGCACGAACTCAGCTTACTGCAACCTCTGCCTCCCGGGTTCAAGTGATTCTCCTGCCTCAGCCTCCCAAGTAGGTGAGATTACAGGCACCTGCCACAATGCCTGGCTAATTTTTGTATTTTTAGTAGAGACAGGGTTTCATCATGTTGGTCAAGCTGGTCTCAAACTCCTGGTTTCAAGTGATCTGCCCGCCTCAGTCTCCCAAAGTGCTGGGATTACAGGCGTGAGTCACTGTGCCTGGCCCACTCTAAACTTAACTTTTTCTTTTCTATTTTTTGAGACACAGTCTTGCCCTGTTGCCCAGGCTGGAGTGCAGTGGGACAATCTCGGCTCACTGCAACCTCCGCCTCCCGGGCTCAAGTGATTCTACCTCAGCCTCCTAAGTAGCTGGGACTACAGATGCATGTCACCACACCCAGCTAATTTTTGTATTTTTTGATAGAGATAGGGGTTTGCCATGTTGGCCAGGCTGGTCTTAAACTCCCAACCTCAAGTGATTGCCCGCCTCATCCTCCCAAGGTGCTGGGATTATAGGCGTGAGCCACCGCACCCGGCCTAAACTTAACTTTTTAATGGACAATCTAACAATTTTCCATGTAGGGGCCAGGGTCCGTGATCATGCATACAGTGGCATCAAGCCTTCTAACCTTGGGCAAAGGTAGTTTTTTTTACCCTTTTCATGGCAGAGTGACTGAATATACCGTGGTTTCTCTGGAAAATACAGTCATTGGGGAAGGGTATCAATAAGAAGCATTGTGAGGGAAATGCATCAGGAGTCATAACAGATGAATTCAGTTCACTGCTTCACCACTTATAAGTTGAACAATCTCGAGCAAATCCCTTAATCCCTCTGAATCGGCATTTTTAATCTACATAATGAGGGTAGTAATACTCCAGGTCTATAAAAATTAGCATTCAGTAGAACACAATAAAGTTTATGAATGCTTAATAAATATAAACTATAATTTTAGTACTAAACTCAATGAACTCTGCTTGGACCCAGTATTGTGCCATTTATGTGTGCTAGCTAGTTTCTTGCAAGCAATAGGAACAAACCTTGGTTAAATTTTGCCAGTTGTCCTGCCAATGTCCTTTTACTAGACCGGGGTCCAGTCCAGGAGCACGCATTGTGACATCATGTTTCCTTAGTCTCCGACACAGTCCACTTTCGAAGAGTACTGGCCGGTTATTTTATAGGACGTCCCACAGTTTTGGTTTGTTTGATGCTTGCTCATGATTAAATTCAGGTTATGCATTTTTAGAAAGAATCCCACTGACGTCGTGCACCCAGCTCAGTGCATCCTTATCAGGAGACAGATGGTGTTGATGCCTTGTTTTTGGTGATGTTAACTTTGGCTCAGGTGGTCTCTGCCAGGTTTCTGCCCCATAAAGTGACAGCTTTTTCCTTTGTAATTAGAGGGTTTTTTTTTTGTTTTTTGTTTTTTGTGGGGGTTTTTTTGTTTTTTGTTTTTTGTTTTTTTTTTTTGAGATGAAATCTCACTCTGTCACTCAGGCTGGAGTGCAGTGGCACCATCTTAACTCACTGCAACCTCCGAGTCCTGGGTTCAAGCAATTCTGCCTGCTTCAGCCTCCCGAGTAGCTGGCATTACAGGTGCCCATCACCACCCCCAGCTAGTTTTTGTAGTTTTAGTAGAGACAGGGCTTCACCATGTTGGCCAGGCTGGTCTCGAACTCCCAACTTCAGGTGATCTGCCCACCTCAGCCTCCCAAAGTGCTGGGATTACAGGCGTGAGCCACTGCGCCTGGCAGTAATTAGACTCTTTAGGACTACATTTGTATCCCATTTTTAATCATACTTTCACACACTAGTCTCTCATCCATTGGTGATTTTTGCCTGAAACAATCATTATTGTGTTTACCAAAAGATGATTTTCTGTTTTCGTCATTCCCTCTGTATTCACTGGAATTCTACTCTAAGGGAGAGCTTTTCCTTCTCCCCTATGAATTTATTTATTTATTATTTAGGTCAGCATAAGTTCATGGATACTTGTTTTAGTCTGGATTATCGTCCATTACTATCATTTATTTTATTGTTCAGTTGTCCTAGATTTGGCCCCTGGGAGCCCCTTTAAGTTGGTTCCTCTGTCTTCTTCACATATCCCATCAGTTTTTGAGCACTTTTCTACTTTCTGGCACCATGTAATATTTATTGACCACATTTTCAAGTTAACCACCAGCAGCAAACCTTTATGTAATGGGGAGAAAGATGGAGAGGAGGGGTAAGGGAAGGAATAGTGGTATTGGTTGGAATATATAGACATATACATGGCAAGATGAGGAAGGAGTTGCGGTAGATGTTCTTTTGTCGCTTCAAAAGGTAACAAGGTCATGATTACAATTTTTAGTGAC